GGTTCGGAAAAGAGCGCCAATCGCAGTGCCGGGAAGTGGACACCAGTTGTGGGTGACGTAAGTCGGTGACATCCGAGGACAAGTTGCGGCGTCCCTTCTGCGGTCAACCCCCATCACATGGCATTAATCGCCATCGTGTCGAGGGTCGTCATMGTCGCCGCCGCCGCCGCCAGTGAAGTCGAAACCAGTGTCTCACGAGCACACAAACAACACTGGTTCGGCCGCTGCACCGCRTTCGTCTGCACGACCGTCGTGTATTATAAAAATAAAAATAATATCTCTTTAAAATTATCAACGATTAATAAAGTGTTTTCGAGCCTCATCGTTCGTTGCCAGCTTGTTTTCTTGCTCTCGTCGATAGAAATCACAAAGTCGCATTATTCACATCACGTGCKACACAAACAATACAATATTTATAATTATTAATATTTGAATAAAACCTACCGTTGGTGTAACTTATTCAGTGACGAAATATCATCGCACTATCTCAGGTACAACGGACAATATTAAATAGTGTGTATACCTAACGGTGATCCGATGATGGTGCCCCTCGTCGTCTTGGACGTCATGCTCTGCAGTCGCCTGCAACAGCATCAACAGCGATGAACACGGGTGTCCGCCGGTGTCCACCGAATGGATAACGTCGTCTTGAGTGCGGATGCGGAATTCGGTTTTAGGTACAACGAAGCGATGATGACTTGACGCCAGAAAACGTCTACGGAAGACGTCGATCTGTTGCAGTCCGCACAATTGGACCCGGCCGCCGTTCCCACAGGTATATTATAATTTATAATATAACTACTTATACATCTCGTAATAAAACTCATATTGTTATAAATTTATAACTAATTTTGTTTTCATCCGGCGCGTCAATAATTAATTTGTTATAACGACAAGTGAGAGAATTTTTTTGTTGGATTTCTTTTTTTCACATTTTTTTTTTTATTAATCAAAGAACAATAATAAGCTGTAGTATGCTGTAGATAATTTAAGATAAATATATGGTATATGTTTACATTTATATTTCATATTAT